CTCACACACGCACTCTATCCCCTTCTCTCTGTTTCCCTCTAATACGCACACGCCTGTGTACACACACTATATGATAGGGTTGTTGATGGTGTTTCTGTAAACATACTTACAAACACCTGGGCCAGCGATCGTACACGAGAAAAAGAAGCAGTACATTCTCTATTCGACCGTCTGCATTTGAATCGCACGCGACTAAAAGATCGCATGCGAGTAAAAGATCGCACACGAGTGAAAGATATCATACAACTGAAAGATCGCATACAAATGAAAGATCGCATGCAACTGAAAGATCTCATGCAACTGAAAGATCGCATACAACTAAAAAATCGCATGCAACTGAAAGATCGCATATAACTGAAAGATCACACGCAACTGAAAGATCGAATCCGACTAAAAATCGGTTTTCCAGATCATCTTAATTTCGATAGGGAATCGTTTACTACACGAGGCGGAAAAGATACTAGTTGGCCATAAATAGTTCAACAGTCACTAAACCGGAGATGTTTATCTTAATTAAGCATTTTCAATGTTATTTTGAGTGATTTAAAATGTTAATTATATACTTTTCTAGGTTTAGTTTTATTTATCTTGCGTGCGTAATATTTCCGAGTTACATACGATTAGAGAGCTACGCAGATTATGAGAGAGTAGGGGAGGGAGGTGGTAAGAGGGAGAGGGAGAGAGGCAGACAACTATAGATAAAGAGAGAGAGTGAGAGAGAGAGCGCCCGAGCGAGAGAGAGTGAGAGAGAGAGAGAGAGAGAGAGGAGAGAGGGGGAGAAAGAAGGAGAAAGAGAAAGAGAGAGAGATGGAAAGAGAGAGAAGTCGAGAGAGGTAGAGAGAGGGGTCGGATATAAGTGCTCGCACGAGCACGCGTCACGATATTATCACAGCCAGTGATATTTACCTAAGGCGTTACCGCACAATAACATGGATAACAAGGCGCACCGCCGCCTACCCGACACCAGATGCATCCACGCAGCCACCAGAAATCAAAACCCAGCCGACGACGCTGCAAAGACCAGCGCTGCAATTGCCTAGAGAAGCCAACGGTCGAATATCGCGGCAACGATGGAACAATATATTCTCGCTCTTTAGCAGACGCAATCACCGCGAAGACCACGTCGTTAATTTCGTCGGGATATAATAAAAGTGTGTATCGTCATGGTCACGGACGCGCAGTTGTAATGACGGCATATGTGACACGTGCGAGACGCACGGGTTTAGATGTCGACATAAAGTTACGATGGCTATGTGCATGACGCTGCACGCCTCTCGGCAATAGCAAGCGGGTTCGGTTCCCATCGCAGCTGTTTATAGTAATATTTCTCTCATCGCGCTTCTTTATACTCGCGCCTGTCTGCATGTTACGCACTGCACTGCAATGGAACATAATCCGGCTAATGCGGTCTAGTCTGGTCTAATCCGGCTAATGCGGTCTAGTCCGGTCTAATCCGGCTAATGCGGTCTAGTCTGGTCTAATCCGGCTAATGCGGTCTAGTCCGGTCTAATCCGGTGTAATCG